AGTTAGTAGCAGGAGAATAGACAGGAGATAATTTGGGGTAGACAATTACGTGGGAAAACAGTAGAGTACATAAAACAAACACACATATGGTTTTAGAAAAATACAGGATGTTAAAATAGTATAATTTGGAGGGTGAAGGAAGAAGAAAGAGGAAAAAGGGGGAAAAGAAGAAAAAGAAAGAAAAAAAGGGCTTATGCAATTCCTCTATATTATATTATTCAGGTGACTCAGTCCTCAAAGTCCTATTTCATGCAAGTTTTTGGTTTTACACATGTTGGGGATGTGAGGGCCAGATGATAGAAGGGTAGAAGAGAAAGAAGAGAAAAAAAAAATACTCTTAGAGATCCGTTTCTTTCTCTTCTCATCCAGTAGGTGGAGTTGTCTCATCCAGTAGGTGTCTCTGCCCTCAGGATGGTGTAGGTAACCAGGGTGTGAAGCCTGGACCTGGTGTGGAGCATTTAGAAGCGGACAGTGCTGCCGTAGTCCAGCTGGGCTGCCTAAGTCCGGGTGGGCAAAATAACCGAAAGATGACAAGCAACTTGAAGCTTGAAGCAGGAACTACTTTATTGCGAGTGAACTCAGCAGGAACTGAGAACTCAAAGTAGAGAGCACCCAAGATAGCAGGAGCCACTTCTCTGCCAGACGGCAGAGGTACATACCCAACTAATTACACACAGCTTAACTTAATTTACATCATCTAGACATAGCAGTCAGTCATTAAGGAATCCTCATCATCTTAATGGCTCACTGGCGTTGGCTCACAAACCACTCCTCTTGGCATAGTGCCAGGCACCATCTTAACTTGGTTATGGCCCTCAACACAGTGCCACCCATCAGTCAGTCCCAGCAGGGAAATAGCACCTCACGGGTCTTTGTTTGTGACCATTCGTCTGACTTGAGTCCCCCGCATAGTCTCCCTCTCTTGCCTAGAGATTTCCCAAATTCTGATCTCTCTGTTATGCTCCAGACTTTAGTCCCCTCTCTTCTCTTATTTATCAGGTCCCAACTGCAGGACCTCTCACCCCCAGGCTCACACTAGCTGGGTGGTGCCCTGTTCACACTGCACTCCTGTCCAACTGAGAGCTGATCTTGTGTTGGGTGGCCACTGTGCTGACTTAACACCATTGGGCAGAGGGGAGGAATTGGAAATCAGGTACCTGCTCAAATGGTGATCTGATCTGATCTGATAGCCACACCCATCACAAAATGGGAGGAAGGTGTTCCAAGATGGAGTCCATCTGCTTTCAGCACCTGGGTGTCTGGTGTTATGGGGGGGGGGGACTGGGCGATGGCCTTGTGCTGTGGATAGATAGCAGCTGAGTGACCTTCATGGGAGCAGCACATAGTCTGGAGTTCTGCAGAGGTGCCTATAGGTGTTTCTGCTAAGCCGCTTGTGAGCTGTGCGTGAACTATAACTGCGGGCTTTGGGTCCAGAGTTGGGAGACCTACCCGAGCCCAAGGCTCTGATTTCTGCACAGGTGGTCGTAGCGCTGGTGATTTCTGTGAAAATCCACTGGCCCCGGAGATCCGATCTGGGAACTGCCCCCACCTAATATGGCAAGAATGTTGAGCCAAGATGGCGGCTGCCTGCTTTCAGCAAGGGGTGTTTGGTGAGGTTGGGGGAGCCAGGCGATGGCATTGTGCTGTGGGTAGGTAGCAGCTGAGTGACCTGCATAGGAGCGGAGCGAAGTCTTAGCGGTCTGCAGATGTGTTGATAGGTGATTCTGCTAAGGCGCTCTCCAAGTCTTGCATGAACTGGAACTTCGGGCTTCGGGTCCTGCTTGAACGCAGGGGTCCTACTGGAACACTGAGGCCTGGAGCCCTGCGCAGGGTTATGGCACTGCTGATTTCTCCAGAGAGCACCTGTATAGGGGCCCTCTAACACTCTCAGAGATACAATATTCTGACTAGGTGAGATCTGGACCACAGAGCAACACAGAATGCTGCCTCCCTCTGGCCCTCCATCTTGAAGATCTCTAAATGGAGCAAAAGTAAAAACATTTCCACCAAAATAAGAAACAAGACAAAGCTGTCCACTCTCACCACTCCTCTTCAATGTAGTCCTCAAAACATTAGCCAGAGTGATCAGGCAAGATAAGGAAATCAAGAGATACAGACAGAAAAAGAAGCCAAAATATCTGTTTGACATGATCCAATATATAGAAGACCCAAAAAACTTCACCAGAAGATTTATAAAGCTTATAAAGTAGCAAGATACATGACCAATGCCCCCAAAACCAATAGCATTCCTATACTCCAACAGTGATTCATCTGAGAAGAAAATAAGTAATCCCATTCACAATAAGCTCAAAAAAAGAAAAATACTTGCAAATTAATCTAACCAAGGAGGTAAAAGAGCTCTACAATGAAAATTATAGAACACTGAAGAAAGAAATTGAAGAAGACCTTAGAAGATGGGAAGATTTTCCATATTCCTGGATAGACAGAATTAATATTGTCTAAATGGCCATTCTACACAAAAGCAATTTGCAGATTCAGCACATTCCCCATCAAAATTCCAATGGCATTCTTCACAGAATTAGAAAAAAACAATCATTAAATTTATTCAAAAGAATAAGAGACCCAGAGGAGCCAAAGCAATACTAACCAAGAAAAGCAAAACAGGAAAAATCACAGTACATTATTGAAATTATACTATAGAGCTGTGAAAACACAAACAGCATGGTATTAGCATCAAAATAGATTTGAAAACCAATGGAACAGAATAGAAGAAAATGAGACAAAAACCACATACTTACAGTCATCTCATACTTGACAAAGTTGCCAAAATATGTTTTGGAGAAAGGTGATCTTTTTAACAAACAGTGCTGGGAAAATTAGATAGCTATAGGTAGAAAACTGAGGCTAGATTCCTATCTCTCACTCTGCCAAAAAAAAAAAAATTAAAATGGATCAAAGACTTAGGAATTAAACCAGAAAACTTGCAACTACTAGAAGAAAACATAGGAAATGATGAAGAGTATGAAGAGAGAGCAACAGAATGGGAGAAAATCTTGGCCAGCTACTCCCCAGTAGGGGATTAATATCCAAACATGTGAAGAACTCAAAAAACTTAAAAAAAAAAAACCAATCAACAAATGGGCAAAAGAACCTAACAGAATCTTCACAAAAGGAGAAACACAAATGGCCAACAATCATATGAAAAAAAGTTCAACATCTCTAGCAATCAGGGAAATGAAAATTGAAACTGCACTAAGATTTCATCTTACTCCAGTCAGAATGTCAGTGATCAAGAATACAAACATAATAAATTCCAGAGAGGATGTAGGGGGAAAAGGAACACTTATACATTGTTTTATTGGGACTGAATACTAGTAGAACCAATCTGGAAAACAGTATGTAGAGTCCTCAAGAAACTAGGGATGGAACCATAAATATGATCCAGCTATCCACCCCTTGGTACCTATCCATAAGAACTAATTCAGCAATACAGCCATCTCTTTGTTTATAGCAACACAAGTCAAAATAACTAAATTATGGAATCAACTCAGGTGCCTGTCAAGATATGAATGGATTAAGAAAGTGTACCACAAATACACACAAAATGGAGTTCTATTCAGCCATGAAGAAGAAGGAAATTATGGAGTTTGCTGGTAACTGGATAGAAATGGAGAATATTATACTAAGTGGAATATGCCAGACTCAGAAACACAGAGGTCTTATATTCAGAAAGTAGAGTAAAATAAAGGAAAGGATGATTGAAAGATAGGCTATCATAAGGATATAAGGAAGAACAGTGGTGTAGAGGAAGGAGACTGAGAGGCAGAATAGAAGAATGGAAAAGGGGAGGAAATGCAGAATGTCCCCAGACCCCCCCCCAAAAAAAGGGGGACTTGCATTTAATTCAATGTTTTCACTCTGAGGTGCAACTTAACAGGGAGCGCTTGAACAAAGAATTACAGGGGGTTATTAAATATTTTTAGTAAAATGTTGCCTTTGTCTCGTGCAGACATATAGAATATGCTCTTCAATTCAGTAAAGATCTTCTTTTTTAATACTTATTTTTTTAGTTGTAGTTAGGCACAATACCTTTATTTTATTTATTTATTTTTTATGTGGTGCTGAGGTTCAAACCCAAAGCCTCATGCATGCTAGGCAAGTACTCTACCACTGAGCCACAACCCCAATACTAATTTAGTAAAGGATTTTTTTTAAGGTAGAGATGCTTTTTTACTATAGCTAAAACAAAGCTTTATCATAAAATTTCTGAAATTCTTGTAATTTTTTTCATAATTATCAGAAGTTGTTCAACTACTTATTTTTTGTTCAATGATTTTTTTCCCTTTTCTTCCCAACCTCTTGCAAAAAATTTTAAAAAGTGGATTTCTGCCAATAAATTGAGCATACACATAAAATTTTAACAAGCTTTTTGAGCTGTGTAACAATATTTGGATACTTGATAATTCTGTTTTATTTTATAGTTGATTGGTGATGTATATTAATGTTAGTCTGACAATATATTTTTATTGTCTGGTAATGTGTTGTTATAGTTCTATGGAAAAAATAATTTAAGCAGTGTTCATCAACTTATAAAAAGTTTTAGTGAATGAGCTTATTCATCTAAATGAGTAATAAATATATTTATCATCACTGAAATGGTTTTGCTTAAAGCTAACTAATTTTGTGGAAGACAAAATGAATTGTACTTCACTCAACGCCATTTGATCTGAGTGTGTCCTATTTCTTTATAAATGAAGAAGTAAATGAATTCAGTATTTTAGTAAGCTTGCAGATCATCATTTCTGCATCATGAGCCCTGTTAATACTAAATGCATTTCATTACAAACTTTTCTTCTTAAGTGTCTTGATAACTTTGAACCAAATTATTATTGTGTACTGAGGAGGAAAAGTCTATGGTAGAAGCAGGTCTTGATTTTAAAAGCTCAGTTCTACTAAATATTGGTGGTTTTTTGCAGCTTAACTTCCATGCTTTGATTTTTCTCACCTGCAAATAACAATTACATATTTATAGATTTTGAAATTAACTCAAACCTAAATGTTTGGCACATGAGGGCTTAATAAGTGTTAAGTTTCTTTCAATGATCTGAAATACTTCCTTGACATAGTTCAGTCTAAAGGGACAGATGTCCTTGTGAGAGTCTGTAACAAGTCAGGATGGCGCCTGGCAAAATGCCAGAGGGAGTGGTTTGTGAAGTAAGGCCAGCGAGCCATTAAGTGTGGAGATTTCTTATTGGTTGACTGATGTATCTAGTTTATGCTAATTAAAATAAGGTGTGTGGAATGTATATATACCACTCCTGTCCTACAATAAACGGCTCCAATTCCTGCTGTATCAATCTACACAAGTTGTTCGTCACCCCCCCCCCCGTTATTTTGCTGCAGCAGACTTTGGCATGTCCTTATCTTTTTTTTATTTTTTTATTTTTTGAGTATCAGTAATAAATGAAAATACTCAAAATTTGAGTTAAAAAGTAACATTTCACCTTATGTTTTAAAGAACTAACTTCCATCTCTTTATGTCAGTCTAGCACTTAATATATTCCATTCTTAAAATTTAGACAGGGCAAATGTTTTTTAAATCTTTGATCAGGTGATTGAGGTGAATTATTTAATCAGAGCTCTTTTTATGCTGCCTTTAAAAATATACAGCCTATTCTTGATGAGAAAATGATTTTGTATAATTGATTACTAAATGACATGCCATTACCACACAGCTCCACAGAACAGAATAGCATTTGTATTTGTTGGGAGACAAGAATTGTCATCATGATTAATAAAAATCTTTCTAAGTTTGAAAAATTGAATTAACTTTTCAAGGTAGGTACATAATTTTTTTGGAAAAGAAGATACTTAGGAATGTGTGTAGACTAAGGGGGAAAATTTAGTAAGGAAAGATAATAAAAAACTGGGGAAAAGAAAACGAATAGATGGTGGGAAGTAAGAAGAGATCCAGAGTTCACCGTACGTGTGCACAAAGACACAATTACCACTGTGTATTTGTGTTTCCTGGTTGAACAGGAGTCAGCTTTACTCACGTAGCTGAATAAAGAAGAGTACTGAAGAGTAGAAGAGCAGAGGTCTTCTCAGCTCTGCACAATAGATGGCATCATTTCCTGCATAGCCAATTTTTCATTATCTGGATACCTAGCAAATAACCAAATTACTGGTTCATTCATGTAGGTTCATTCATAAAGTCTTTTACTAAGACTTTTCTTCTATCCCTGTTGTTCCTTCTATGCAAGATAAATAAGATTTTGCATCTAATGAAAGGTTTAAGGTTGTCAATAAAAATTCAAGTGCCATATTTATTGGGACATTATAGCTATATACATTCTGGGCCTATGAAATGTAGGAAGCTGAATGCTGAGACCCAGGCCTTTCATGTTGATATACCAAACTAAAGTGCTGTCACTTCATGTACAGATGATACTTGGTTTTTGTTTGGTTGTTTTTCTCTTTTCTTTTCTTTTCTTTTTTTTTTTTTTGGTGATTTTTCTCTAAGTGAAATATAACAGAATTCAATTTTTAAAAAACTTTATCATATCCAACATAGGCTTTATAATTTTC